AGCTATAGTTTTCCTTGAAGATGACTCATTTGCTATTTTTAATCACTTACACCTACTTATTCCAATTTTCTGCAGAACTTCACTCATATGAGCAGACTTTTCCCAAACAACTGTTAGGCAGCTGCAGGCAAATGTACTGGATTTTTTTTTTTTTTTGGAAGCAAAAGGCAAAGCAATGGCCAGAACTAAACTCACTATAGAAATAATACGATCCGTTTATGGGAAACATCTAATGAAAACCAGTTTTGTCTTAAGAATGTCAGTTTTACATTCATTCCCAGATAGAATTCTACAATTGACTTTACATGGGAAAGCCTGGCCTTCAAAGGAGAAGGGCTTGCTTGTTTTAATTATAGACAGACAATAATAATTCATTTGTGGTAAATGAAAATGAACAAGTCTTTTGCAATGGACACAGTTCTAATCGCATCCGCTAATAACAAGGGGGCAAATTTTGATTTGTTGACTTACCAAAGGCAAACAGGCTGTTCACTTTGCAAGGGAATTTTCTTTTAACTTATGAATGTGATGAAAATTCACATTTGCAAAGAATATGCAATAATGTGCAAGGAAAATAAAAAAATAAGATGTATGCTTGCACATGCTTGGATGATGGAAATTAGCACATCTTAACCTCATTCACCAAGCTAAAAATTAAAGTATATGTAAGCCCTGACCCTGTAAAATTACCTATACAGCTTAAAATAGAATGAAGGGTAAAACATTTCCTTATAGGTATAAAAAAGAGATCAAAATTCCTATGTTCTCAGCTGCATAAAGAGGTGTGGGTGGAAAAACAATAGCACATTGGTCTTCCCAGTGAATGGCTGTGGGGGGGGAGTGTCAAGACAAGTCTGGTCATTGGAGGAGAGCACTGCGGGGGGGATTTACTAAAAATGGTTCACTCAGAATCTGGTACACCTGTGCAAAGTAGCCAATCAGCTTGGTTGTTGAGTTAGAGTGGTTGTAAAAAACCTTCTCTGTGCAGCATCCCCCCCAGCCCCCCTAATACTCACCTAAGCCTCCTCTCGATCTAGCGATGTGCACTGGAGTCTCGGCTGTCCCAGGACCCCCTCTCCTCATTGGCTGAGACAGCAGCAGGAGCCTTTGGCTTCCACTGCTGTCTATCACAGCCAGTGAGCCAATGAGGAGGGAGAGGGGGGGCCAAGCCACAGCTCCGTGTAACAATGGACACCGAGCCTGACTGGGTGCCCCCATAGTCAGGTGCTTGCTGTGGGGGCACACAACAAGCTAGAGGGAACTTGAGAAAAGGAGGATCGGGTCTGCTCTGTGCAAATCACTGCACACATCAGGTAAGTATGATATGTTTGTTATTTTAAAAGAAAAACAAAAATTGCTTTAAAATCGCTTTAAGTTTTGGCAATAAAACCTGGAAGCTGGTTTCTATGCAGCAGTGAACCTGATCTTGCACTCTTCACCTTTAGTAAATAAACCCCACTGAGTTCCCAGTACAGCTAAAGAACTGACCACACTGTGCTCTCATACCTGGTGTGGTCAGTTTTTTTTTTTTAAATCAGAAAGCAGAGGTGCTGGCAGGGATTTCACACAAAGGAAGCAATACAAAGAGAACAGGATACGTTTTCATACAAGTATATGGTACATCAGGCACAAATCGAGAATATGAAACGTTGGGTTTCCATACTTTTTAAGTGAAAATTCCCTTGCAAAGCGAACATGCTTTGCTCGTTTAGTAAATCATCCACATTGTATATGTTAAACATTTCTAAAACTGCTTTTCGTCTGGGTTTTGTTACACATACTGAATATGGATGTAATGTTCTCATACATGTTTTTGGTTGTTTGATGCCGGCGGATGATAAGTGCAGTCTGTAATGTAGCTATGGTTGTTATAGCAACAAACTGCCTCATCTAATCTCATCACTGGTATGTAATAACATACCTCATATGGGTAAAGTTATATACTGAGGCTAGTTGGAGTTGGAGTAGGGCTGGAGTTTGTGAATAGGTATGGTAAATGTATGAAGTTCTTTTATCTTTTTTATGTGATATGGACATTTACAAAATACAAATCAGAAGCGATGGAATTTGAATAATTCAAGGAAATCCTAAATTGTTAACCATATACCTTATCAAGTATCCTGACTTTAAAAAATGACTTGAACTAGGTAATTCTTGAAAAACATGAGTCCAGTTTTGTAACCCATCAAAAAAGAATTTCATGTGTTTAAACATATTTAAGAGTATACCTGTCTGAAATGTATCTTATATTGAAGTGTTAGTAAACCCACAACAGTAAAATCAGTCTGTATATGCAGTAAAGCATGCTTGTTGTACTCACTGTGGAACCTAAGGGGTTAATCCTCTGCATTGTGCAAAAAGGATGTTTGATTCTCTCTTCTCTGATCCTCCCCTTCTTCCAGTATCTCCCAAATAACTCCTGAAAGAACAGAGCCTTGGGGGCAAGCTGCACATGCTCAGTTTGGTGTGTATTGCTAGAGAGGTTTTTTTTTTCTTGGGAGAGTGCATGTGATTAGCACAGGGCCAATCAACACTGTCCAGACAGAAGGTCAGGGGTCCTACATCCTTCTACAGGAGAATTAAAACTCCTTCTACAACCTTTAACCAGTGCTCTGCTGGACACTGATAGAAGTCACAAAAACCGCTCTAAGTAATGATGAAAAAAGGTATTTAGCAGTTTATATTTATTAAAAATAATGGCATTTCCATGTTGTGCGTACTGTGGGAGACCAGATATAGTGGATGCAGGGTCCTGGGTTTGGTAATACTTTAAATTCTCTCCTATGACTTTGCAGCAGATGTATACCTTTAAAATTATTTCCTATTAAGTTAATATTTTGCCAGTACAAAGTGGGTAAAAGTGTAAAACTTACTTGCTCCTGCAATCTAGGTAGGTACATTTTTGGGGGAAAAAAAAAAAAATGCTCATAAAGTTCCAGTTTAGGAATAACATACTCCCCGTCCCTGGAGCAATATACATTCTTATGGCCAGGTGCGTGTTTGCCAAACATTCATCTGCAGATTGACCTGGTGAAAAGATGCATATGGCATGCGTTTGCTAAAAACATTCACCCATAACAGGGTAAATATCAGGGGCGGACTGACAACTCATGGGGCACCCGGGCAATAGGGGATCATGGGGCCCTTGTGTCCTTGCCCAAACTCAAAAAAGCCTATGAAAAAGGTACCAGGGGCATCTCATGGGGCCCCCTACTGACCCGAGTTTCCAAAATTAAGTCCGCCCCTGGTAAATATGCACCCCAGCAAATTCCATAGCTGCAAATGTCCATCAATTGTAATTTGCACAGTAATCTGCAAAAAGCATAACCATAGTGCCCTCCATAGTGCTGAGAGGGTTATTTATTCACTATATTCAAAGGGGTTCCAAACTAATAGCAGCTCCTCCAAAAGTACCTGTACCTGATTTGGATAGGCACCAGGTGTTTCAGAACCCTCGTTGACCAGGCAAAGTATGCATTTGTTTTCTGGAACGTTAACAAAAACACACATTTTTTAGCCCTGGTTCACATTTGTGTGGGCTGTGCGATTCGTGTGTACATGGGCACAAAGGCCCATTCATTCGAATGGCCTGCCATGCCTGCGTTTTTTACAAAAAAGAGGTGCATGCACTCTTTTAAAAGTGCATTCACAAGGGAATTGGTCTTTTTGGCCATGCAATTTCCCTGTAGTTTCCACACTCACAAACGCTCTGTGGGATGAGATGCGTGGGGGTGCCACTCAGAATGAATGGCAGCCCTGCACATCTCGTAAGATGCGATTCCCGCACCCACAAACAGCATGCACATTGTGAACCAGGCATAACACAAATACGTTTTTTTTTTTTGGTGGGATCTATCAATGTGCTGATCTTTTCCTTGCACAGCCTTGCCCGATCTGAGAAGCATAGTGGCTATATAGAGTTCCCTATGATGTAAGGCTAAAATTGGACGATGATGTAATAGTTACATCATTGCAGAAATCTAGACTAATATGAAATTTATGTTGCTGTTACCTATTTAATGTTGAATATGGCTGGTGAAATGCCAAGCAAGTTGGAGGCCATAGTTGTTTAGCTGACCAGGGTGATCTCTGCTCACCCTACAACAGGAGTGTCAAACTGGCAGCCCTCCAGCTGTTGCCAAACTCCAAGTCCCGTCATGCCTCTGCCTTTGAAAATCATGCGTGTAACTGTTAGCCTTGTAATGCCTCATGGGACTTGTAGTTTGGCAACAGCTGGAGGGCCACCAGTTTGACAGCCCTGCTCTACAATAAATGAGATAAGGGCAGCAGATCACCACTGATAGGGGTAGGAATACATTATTTCTACTAAACTAGAAAATAGAGAAGCTCTTGTAAGGCAATGCAGTTATTTCTGAGCCAAAACTAAGGCAGGTTACATGTTATGCAATTTTATTTCCTTTCACCACAGGTTGAAGGAATGAAAATTGCTCAACTCCCCCCATCAACACAGTCAGTGTTGATGGGGGAATCCCTCTCACAGTGCTATTGTGCTCTGCTGATGGGGAGCCTTCCCTGCCAGAAGAACACAATGATTCGTTTTGCTGGCTATAAAAACCCAATCGACTTGTGTACAACCAGGGTGCCCATGCATGGATCCAAATTCAGCTGGCTCCTGCTGAACTGGCTGAATTTTGATCCATGTATGGCCAGCTTAAAGACAGTCATCTGCTCCCCCACTACCATACCAAAGTCAATTTCTATCAGGATTTTTTTACAAACATGGGCTTGTGATTTGAAAAGTTGATGTTTCTGTTATGTGTACAGCTTAGTTTTTTTGCCATCATTTTACTTTTGATGACTGCTAGAATTACCGTATTTTTTGCTCCGTAAGATGCACTTTCCCCCCCAAAGAAATGGGGGGAAAATGTCTGTTCGTCTTATGGAGCAGCCGACCTGGTATTCCCCCCGTCGCTGCTGCTGTGTTAGAATACCGGGCCGGCTGCTCGGCTCCACTGTGCAGAAGAACCTGCTCCTCAGTCCTACCTGTTCCTTGGCCCAGTGGTGTCCTGCTTCCATCGGCCATCTTCTCTCCCTGGCATCAGCATCTTCATTGTGGGCACCAGGCTGTGACAGCTTGCGGCTTCACAGCCGGGTGCCCACTGCACATGATCGAGAAGTGCTGAGCTTTGTGAATGTTCACGCAGTCTTGTGGGACCTGTCACGTGTCCCACAAGACTACAGGGAGGGGGGGAGGACAACTCCACAGAAGTGGGAGCGGGTACCAAATTCAGGTACCTGCCCCTCCCCCGCTCCACAAAGGTCTGCAGTCACTGGTGATCTTCTGTACTATGTCTGCAGTCTCTGGTCATCTCCTGTACTGTGTCCGCAGTCTCTGGTCATCTCCTGTACTGTGTCTGCAGTCTCTGGTCATCTCCTGTACTATGTCCGCAGTCTCTGGTCATCTCCTGTACTATGTCCGCAGTCTCTGGTCATCTCCTGTACTGTGTCTGCAGTCTCTGGTCATCTCCTGTACTAGGTCTGCAGTCTCTGGTCATCTCCTGTACTATGTTCGCAGTCTTTGGTCATCTCATGTAGTAGTACGTCTGCAGTCTCTAGTCATCTCTTGTACTGTGTCTGCAGTCTCTGGTCATCTCCTGTACTATGTCCGCAGTCTCTGGTCATCTCCTGTACTATGTCCGCAGTCTCTGGTCATCTCCTGTACTGTGTCTGCAGTCTCTGGTCATCTCCTGTACTAGGTCTGCAGTCTCTGGTCATCTCCTGTACTATGTTCGCAGTCTTTGGTCATCTCATGTAGTAGTACGTCTGCAGTCTCTAGTCATCTCTTGTACTGTGTCTGCAGTCTCTGGTCATCTCCTGTACTAGGTCTGCAGTCTCTGGTCATCTCCTGTACTATGTCTGCAGTCTCTGGTCATCTCCTGTACTGTGTCTGCAGTCTCTGGTCATCTCCTGTACTATGTCTGCAGTCTCTGGTCATCTCCTGTACTGTGTCTGCAGTCTCTGGTCAACTCCTGTACTATGTCTGCAGTCTCTGGTCATCTCCTGTACTATGTTCGCAGTCTTTGGTCATCTCATGTACTATGTTCGCAGTCTTTGGTCATCTCCTGTACTATGTCTGCAGTCTCTGGTCATCTCCTGTACTATGTCTGCAGTCTCTGGTCATCTCCTGTACTGTGTCTGCAGTCTCTGGTCATCTCCTGTACTAGGTCTGCAGTCTCTGGTCATCTCCTGTACTATGTCTGCAGTCTCTGGTCATCTCCTGTACTGTGTCTGCAGTCTCTGGTCATCTCCTGTACTAGGTCTGCAGTCTCTGGTCATCTCCTGTACTATGTTCGCAGTCTTTGGTCATCTCATGTAGTAGTACGTCTGCAGTCTCTAGTCATCTCTTGTACTGTGTCCGCAGTCTCTGGTCATCTCCTGTATTGTGTCCCCAGTCTTTGGTCATCTCCTGTACTGTGTCTGCAGTCTCTGGTCATCTCCTGTACTATGTCTGCAGTCTCGGGTCATCTCCTGTACTATGTCTGCAGTCTCTGGTCATCTCCTGTACTATGTCCGCAGTCTCTGGTCATTTCCTGTACTGTGTCTGCAGTCTCAGGTCATCTCCTGTACTATGTCCGTAGTCTCAGGTCATCTCCTGTACTATGTCCGCAGTCTCTGGTCTTCTCCTGTACTATGTCCTCAGTCTCTGGTCATCTCCTGTACTGTACTATGTCATCTCCTGTACTGCCTGCAGTCTCTGGTCATCTCCTGTACTATGCCTGCAGTCTCTGGTCATCTCCTGTACTATGTCTGCAGTCTCTGGTCATCTCCTGTACTATGTCTGCAGTCCATTGGTTCAGAATATTTTTTTTTCTTGTTTTCCTCCTCTAAAATCTAGGTGCGTCTTATGGTCAGGTGCGTCCTTTGGAGTGAAAAATACGGTAATACTTTTAGGGATTTTTAATATTAACTGGCTTTTAGTGAGTCCTCCTATTACTACTGTGTGATGTTGCTAAGAAAAATGGTATTTATGACAACATTGAAGGAATGTTGTCTGCTGATAAACTTTTAATCTAGAATAGAAAGGAAGAACATTCCATAACAGCTTAAGGTGAATGTGTTCCTTTCCTCCATGCAGAATGATAAGAAATGAATTTGGCACTTCAGAGATCACAGACAATTTTTCAGCAGGATGGGAGGACTGTCAGTAACTGCCTAATCTGGTACAGCAATAAATAACCCAGTGTGTCATGAGAATATTAGATTCATGCAGCTATTTCCATTATGTTGGCATGTATGCATAACACATCTTCAGAGAACTTGTTAACTAAATATCAGTTATACAAATTCTGCATTCCAACATAAATGAATACTTATCAAAATATTGAGCAAAAGTGGAAAAATTCATATAAAAAGTCTTAAAGTGGAACTATACTGCATCTGAGCACCACAAACCAAAAAATGCTATTTAATTCATTGTTAAAGCAAACTCGCCCATCCATCCGTCTCCATGCTTTATTTTGCGGAGAAATCATTTTGAAAATGGGTGGCCATCCTGAGTAAGGGCAGATAATTCATGTAGCATTTACTCACTGGAATCCATCTGTCCTTAGCTCAGGCATTGGCTGGATTGGGAACCCTCCCTCCCCTCCTGAAGACTGATGGGATGTATGGCATCACTTGCTTAGGCCAGGAAACCAGGAAGTAACTGAAAAAATAAAAAAAAAAAAAAAAGACGTTTCAAACAAGTAAATATAATATACTTTACTATCCATTTACTAATGCTAGCAGCATAAGTATTAAAAATAGTCCATGTTGATTGAGAGACTGAAATTCCACTTTAAGTTAATTTTCTTTGTTTATCCACAGCAAACTGATAGATACACACGTTTTTTTTTCCCTGCAGGAGCAAATCGCATCATGCTGTGCTGGGGTTTTTTTTGCCTTCCTCTGGATCAACTGTGGGGATAGGATTATAACATTTTTTTTTTTAATGGTTGAACTGGAGGGACTTTTGTCTTTTTTCAGCCAGACTAACCATGTAACTATGTATTAAAGCTCCTGAAAAATAAACAGCTGCATGGGGTCAGTTGATGAGATTTACCATCATTTCCTGTTCCATAGATGTTGGGGGCCCTTTAACCTCCCTAGCGGTCTGATTATGTCAGTATTTCTGTGCTCAAAGTGGTACATTTTTTTGCATGGAAATATGTTGTTTTTTTATTGTAGGCCTGTATTTCTTAGGAATAACTCACTGAAATCTGTCCGAACAAGAGTCTAGTAAACATCCCGGCAGGGGTGGACTGACAACTCATGGGGTCCCCGGGCAATAGGGGATCATGAGGCCCCTGTGTCCTTGCCCAAACTCAAAAAAGCCTATGAAAAAGGTACCAGGGGCATCTCATGGGGCCCCCTACTGACCCCGGGCCCTCGGGCAGTGCCCGAGTTTCCAAATGGTCAGTCCGCCCCTGCATCCTGGGTATGATAAAATTTGAAACACAAAATCATAAATTATAATATAATAATACATTTAATTCAATAATGTAATCAAACCAAAAACACTGAAATTTGAAACAGAGCGCCAAGTTCACACATCACTGAGCTTAGTTGCAAAATCGTTTTCAGTGTCTGATGACGAATTTCCCCACAAATCATTATCACTCAGTTCTGCAAGTAGTAATAATTTACTATCACTGTTCTCTAGCTGGTCTAAAAAACCGCTTTTGACCTAAAGGGACGCTTTTTGGATGCCATGGACTTTTCTCAGTTTCCAGGCAGAAAGAACAGTAAAAATGCAGGCAGGGCACAGGACAAAGCAGTAGGGACAAAATGTATGTGAAATGGTTTGATACAGTAATGTTTTACTATGTGATTTTAGTGTATTGAGTGAATGGCACTTTTAAAATTTTTGAATTTCCCGCCGGTTCTGTCCCCTGTATGTCCCGACACTCACAGGGAACGGAACCCAGAAGACGGATGCCGGCATCGGCTGGAGGAGATGACTGGGGGACATCGCGGGAGCGAAGGACAAGGTAAGTGCTGGAGGGATCGTGGAGCAACGCTGCAGGGTATTCCCGACTGTAGCTGGGGGGTACTGCTTGTGGTGCTGAAAGTTTACCCCGAGCTACACTCGTGAATACCACCAGGGAGGTTAATTTGTCTCGTTCAAGGGCAACAGACTGTGCTCTCTAGGGGTTGGTCAGCTCTGCTTCAATGAAGAGAGAGATTGAATGACAGAGGGAGATTTGACTTTTTGAGTTGTGTGGTGGCTGGGAGAAGAGTGGACGTCTGCTACAAGAAGAGACCTGATAGAGATCACCATGTATTCACTAATTGGTGTTCCCCCAACTCTGGGAGAGACAGTTATCATCAGCCATGTTCCCCAGGTTAAAAATATTACCCCGATGGAGAAAGGTGGGAGAGAAAGTACCTATGTTATACAGAGGAGAGTGTAAGTTCTCATGCACACAGGCGCCTGGAGCTATACAATGTAAAATTCAAGAGCATTTTCCCACCTGGGAGCCACAGGTGCTGCATACAACTGCCACCCATAGAAGTCAATGACTTTACATGAGTATATCCTGGTTTTCCATGAGTATTTTCCTTTAACTGCGTCCATGGTTGAATATGCATGCGTATAGCCATGATTTCTATGGGCAGATGTACACAGCATGTGTAGCTTCCATGCAGGGAAATATGCTTGAATTTGAGGTTGTATGGCCCCAGACACCCATGTGCATGAAGCCTTAATAATAGGCAGTGTACCTGTCTCCTTTACTCTTTATAGCTGAACTCCACGTTTCTCCAAGTTTGCCATTTTCAGATCCTTTCCCAAGCAGCCATAAAAACCACGCTTACCGATCCCCGCTGGCTAGAGTTTTGGGACTGTGCAGGGAGCACGCTCTCAGCACGGTAAGTTGTTTACAAAGGGCTGCATATATGCGTACGGCCAGCCAGGGGCGAAATGACAACTCATGGGGCCCCCGGGCAATAGGGGATCATGGGACCCCTGTGTCCTTGCCCAAACTCAAAAAAGCCTATGAACAAGGTACCAGGGGCATCTCATGGGGCCCCCTACTGACCCCGGGCCCTCAGGCAGTGCCCGAGTTTCCAATTGGTCAGTCTGCTCCTGCGGGCAGCATGAAGAGGTTAAAAAGGGGATTACAGGGGAAGCCTATAAGAGAGAGAGGTCGCAGAGACTCTGAGGTTGTTGATGAAAGGTAAAAGGTAAGAGGAATTTTGGGTGAAGTCAATCAGATCTGGTGACTTCTTGATGACCACTAAATAAATGAAGTGGCAAATCTACCTTTTAGACTAAGTTCACACTAGCTTTGTAAGCAGGCGTTTGAGGGGCGTTTTTATACACATGGCAGCACATAGTGCTGTTCACACTGAAGCGTTAG